ATAAATTTTGTGTGACTACCTCCTTTTCAAGAAACTTAAATCTGCTTAACATATGCATGCGTGTATAAAATACTAGAAAGAACAAAGTTTTTCACTAGCTATTATGTGAAAGTACCCAATTTTACACTTATTTGAAATTTATTGTATTAAAATATGTGTAGAACCACAATGCCTACCTGCATCAGCTCTGGACCGCTGGCCAGGTGTCTTTCCGAATGGGGTCTTCATTCATCTGTATTTAAGTGAGCAGCAGAGCTGCTGGACTAGGGTGAAAATTCAATATTCTCCAATTTGAAATTTTTCACAGAATGTTAGTGTTCTTGTTAATCCACCATCCAAGTGTCTCTTTTACAAGTTCAGCAAAAATACGTGAAATCACAAGCACTCTGTAAAATAGTGAAACAGTTCATTACTACAGCATCAAGAGAGCAAAATTATGCCTAGTGAGTCTTTAAACATAAAATTTTAAGCAAAAGTATTTGCTGTCCCAAAGCAATTAACTTTATTTCCTAAGACCTGGTTTCTCAGGACATAACAAAGTAGAAAGAAAAAAAAGAGGCAGTAGACTCTTTAAAAAAAGAAGCTTGGGACAAGTGCAAGACGCAAATGTAAAGTTCTTCCAACATCAATTGGAACACAATACAGCTGTTGTCTAGCATCCCCATTATTATCCTAAAGCATCCTGCTGCTAGAAACCAGAAAAAGGTGGATGCTGGAACCTCACAGAAGATTTAGACAGCATGGCCCATCTCTCTGATGGACACCAAGAACCAGACTATGTGGGTGGATGACAGGGGTGTGAGGTCACTGGGGAGGCAAGAGTGGAAGGACAACATGGGGGCAGCACAGGAAATCATGTTCAAGACAGAGCAACAGCGAGGCTGAAGATCAGTAGGCCAGGGTCTTGGACAAAAGAAAGAATTATAGCCAACAAGTCTCTGTGTTTCCCTTTCCGCTCACAAGCTTCCAGAAACTAAAGAAAAAGGTCCAGGAATTCCAGAGAAGCCTCAAAGAAAGTTCCTCACCCATGTAAATGCTAAAGTCATTTTATGGAAGCAAATGATCTTTTAAGCCAAATTTAGTTCCTAGAGACATTAACAGGTCTGTCTCACTACTCAATGATCTACAGAGACTAGGCCTAAGATGAAGGCTATCAGGACAACTGGTTGCTTACTTGCCTTCCCCTGAGAGCCTATCCAATTGCCACAACAAATCTCATATCCCTGTTTTCCCTCATTCAACTCTCTTCCCATTCAGACCTCTCTAATGGGCCCCTATGACTCTCTTCCCCGCCTGCCCAAGCCTCTTCAGAAGGTAAAGTGCTTTGACCACATACTTAACATATGCATATGACCCTATCCGCCAATAGCTCCCCCAAAAGGTAGTTGTTTACATTTCTCACCACACACCTTAACACAATCTCTCCTACCTCAAATCCTCACCTTAGAAGCACATGCCATAACGCTAGTTATAACAGGTATCCCTTTTTGTTAGTTTTCTACCTGTTAATCTTCCAGTCATCTACACACATTTGTTGAAGATTATGGTATCTGGTTTACTTCTTTTCCTCCACGAGCCCCATTAACATTCTTGACAACCTCAATATCCACACATATGATCCATTTAACCTCCCCCCTTGGTTCTTTAGACCCCCTCCCTTCAACCCACTTACCCTACACTTCGTCTATTCTCACAGTCCCAACATAGACCTTTTTATCAACAATACCTGTAATAACCCCAAAACCATTATTTCACACTCAAACCACCTCTGATCATTCTAGTTTTCTTACATTGACACTCCCATTCCAACAATTATTTGATGCCACCAGTACCACCTATCTACGGCTTTACTGTTTTTCCAATGTCGCATTATCTCCTGAGGGACTAACGTCCCTCATTACTCTGCTTAAGTTTTCATGGATGGTCAATCACATCATGATGATTATTATTCCACTGCCTTTCTCCATTTTCTTACCCTTCTCTTCCTGTCACTGTTGTGTGGCAAACCCAAACCCAAATTCCTTCCTAGAGTACTTACAACATAAAGCAGTTAAACATGGATGAAAAACATACAAATTTTCACTTCAAATCTGTCATATCTCACATGAGCATTCAACAAATACCCACAGCCTCAGCAGATAGGCTTGCTATTGGCTATGAAAACAAATGCAAAGAGAACTACTCATCACTTTATCAGCAAATTGACTAGCTGTCAGTATCCTTTGTCTCCGTAATAAAAGATGCACTATCTCTGAGCCATGTTCAACCTCGTCACTTGCCTAATCAATCCCACCCTTTTTCCTCTCTATACATTTACCACTAGCATAGTCCCATCAGCATACAACACATGATGTAAAGGCCAGGTGCAGTGGCTCACAACAGTAATCCGAACACCTTGGGAGTCCAAGGTAGGCAGATCACTTGAGCTCAATAGTTCAAGACCAGCCTGGCCAACATGGCGAAACCCTGTCTCCACAAAAGATAAATTAAAAAAAAAAAAAAAAAATTAGCCAAACGTGGTGATGTGTGCCCTTGGTCTCATCTACTGGAGAGGCTGAGGCAGAAGAATCATTTGAACCTGGGAGGTAGAAGTAGGAATGAGCCAAAATCGTGCCATTGCCCTCCAGCCTGGGTGACAGAGTGGGACCCCATCTCAAAAAAATGCAATAATAAATAAGATCAAGAGCTTTTCATTTAAAAAAAAAAAAAAAAAAATCCCAGCACTTGGGGAGGCTGAGGCAGGAGGACCACCTGAGGCCAGGAGTTTGAGACCCCGTAGCTACTAAAAATGCAAAAATTAGCCAGGCATGGTGGCGCACACCTGTAATCCCAGCTACTTAGGAGGCTGAGGCAGGAGAATTGCTTGAACTCGGGAGGTGGAGGTTGCGGTGAGCTGAGATCATACCACTGCACTCCACCGTGCGCAACAGAGTAAGACTGTCACAGAAAAAAAAAAAAAAAAACATAATGTAGTATTTCCAAATTTTAAAAAACATCCCATGACTCCACTCCCTTTCTGTGCTCTTTACAGAACTACTTCAAAGACTACGAAAAAAAAATTTTTTTTGAGATTACAGGCATGAGCCACTGCGTCTGGCCAGATTAAAGAAACTTTTTAACTACATAAAATCAATTTATCCTAACAAATTCACTCGATCAAATAAAAATTTTAACTTACTGGTATTCTGAACTATGCACCCTCCTCACTATCAGATTTAAGCTTATCTTAGCAATATTTTCTGCTGCTTTCCACTTCATTAAAATTTCAAGTTGAACTTGTTAATAAACCAAAAATTTTTTTAAACAGGAGTTGAAGGAAGAGTTGCAGTGGGTTAAGGATACAAGGTGGCTATTTGAACAATATTAGAACACAAAATTCCAGATGAGAGTCCTTCCCTTGGCCAGGCACCGTGGCTCACGCCTGTAATCCCAGTACTTTGGGAGGCTGAGGTGGGGGGATCACCTGACATCAGGAGTTCCAGACAAGCCTGGCCAACATGGTTAAACTCTGTCTCCTCTAAAAATACAAAAATTAGCCAGGCATGGTGGTGCGCACCTGTAATCCCAGCTAATCCGGAGGCTGAGGCTTTGCACCAGGGAGGCGGAGGTTGCAGTGAGCCGAGATCATGCCACTGCACTTCAGCTTGGGCAACACAGCAAGACTCTGTTTCAAAAAAAGAGTCCTTCTCTCATGTTTAGATGTCTAAAAAATAACAATAAATTTTTAAAAAGAGTCCTTTCTCTTTTTTGAGCTGCAGTTAATAACTACTTCAACCACCTGATCTTATCCTAACTCCTGTTAAGACCAGAAAGAAATGCAGAAACAGATCAAAAAGAAAACACTGAATGCTAACTAATGAAACCCTGGTTTTGTTTTAACAGCTGCCATGTAAGGCTTTCAAAATTCAGATGAACTAAAGCTTTCCTAAAACAAATCCCACTCTACTTTGACTGGAAAAAGCTAAACTTACTGTGCCCAGGTTTTTTTAAAGAACTTAAGTTATCCTACTAAGTAATTAACTTCGTAAATAAAAACTGAAGGAAACAAAATTTTAAATTCAGAGTTAGCATTATTTCTAGGTTAACTGAAGTTATAAAATATTTTGTCAAGTGTTATGAAGAATACTGACAAAGGGAGCTTAATTATAAGGTCATTAGGAAGAAAGTCCTGCATTCAGAGACCCATCAGAAGTTGCTAAAACCATCAGGAGAAAGGTTGCTGGAGAACAATAATTGTATGGTATCAAAGGATGGCTCCAGAGATTATTCGTTAATTATAAAGAGGAAAATGTTGTTGCTTTACAATGGAGCAATCTTGGCCTATACTACCAAGGAATTGAAAGATCAAACAATTTGGCATCATTAAAAGAGAATCAACCTCGCTTCATCCACTTCTTAATGTGATATGATACAAAGCAGACCACATCACTTATAAAGTACTACTCTTGTCAAAAATTTTTTATCTCCAGGTGAGGTGTGGCAATATAAAATATATTCAAAAGGCCGGCACAGCGCCTTACACCTGTAATCCCAGCACTTTGGGAGGCCAAGGCAGGTGGATCATGAGGTCAGGAGATCGAGACCATCCTGGCTAACACGGTGAAACCTCGTCACCAAAACAAACAAACAAACAAACAAAATACATATATTCAAAAAAAATCTAGTAAAGCTTTCGGATATAATTTCTAGTTTATAGGAAATACAAGTGATGCAGAAGAAGCAAGTGAGACAACACCATGAGGAAACAGACAAATTAGAAAGGTGGAGTTTGGGGCCGATGTGGTGGCTCACACCTGTAATCCCACCACTTTGGAAGGCCGAGGCAGGCGGATCACAAGGTCAAGGGTTAGAGATCAGCCTGGCCAACACGGTGAAACACCGTCTCTAAGAATACAAAAATTAGCTGGGCCTGGTGGCGCATGCCTGTAATCTCAACTACTCGGGAGGCTGAGGTAGGAGAATTGCTTGAACCCTGGAGGCGGAGGCTGCAGTCAGTTGAGATCACCCCACTGCACTCCAACCTGGGCAACAGAGCAAGACTGTACTTCGGGGGGAAAAAAAAAAAGAAAAAAAGAAGGAGAGGTGGAGTTTGTACATGAAAAGTGGGCCATACTCCTCAAAAAGTCAATGTCAAGAAAGAAAAATGGTAGACACACTGCTCTAGACTAAAAGAGGCTCAACAATAAGACAATGAATAAACCCTAAACACATGGTTCGTGGGGAGAGGTGGGTGAAAGTACCAAAGACACTTAAGGCCAGGCAAAGCGGCTAAAGCCTGTAATCCTAATCCTTTGGAAAGATCACTTGAGCCTAGGAGTTCAAGTGATGAACATGGTATGGATAGCTGGCTGTGGTGGCACACATACGTAATACCAGCTACCAGCTACTCAAGAGGCTGAGGCAAGAGGATCACATGAGACCAGGAGGTCAAGGCTGCGGTGAACCGTGATAGAGCCACTGCACTTTAGCCTCGCCGACAGAGTAACACCCTGCATAAACACACACACACACACACACACACACACACACACACACACACTCTTAAAGACAACTGGGGAGATTTAAATGTAGACTAAATAATAGATACTGTGAGATTATCATTACATTTTAAAAGCACGATGATGTTGTGGTTATGCCTGAGAATATATTCTTTGGAGAAATATGCTGAAATGTCTAAAGAGGAAGACTCACAATTTCTGTAAGTTAACTTCAAATGATTCCGGGGAAGAAAATACATACATGAGGGATAACATAAGTATCGAAAGACAAAATTACAATAATGTGGTTTAAGGATCTAAAACAGCTTTATTTACGATTCTAGAATCAAACAATGCTTTGTTCCATAAAATAGAATGAGCATTCCAGTGAGCAGAGCAGAGGCTCCTTGTACAGACAGAACAGGCCTGAAGAAAGCAGAAACAAAGAACTGGGAAAATAATTCAAAATCAAATCTACGGAAGTTTAAATTATTTTCAGCCTTAAAGAAACGTGATTATGGGACCTGAGTCACATGACAGGCAACTTTAGTCCTCTGATTATAGATCAGCCTGTTTACCTACAGTGTTCTGTAAAATGTTGTAAAAGACTAAAGGGCTCCAAAGAAGACCCCTATCTAAACTTCATCTTCATTATAGATTAACTTCCCTCTTACTTCTCTTACACATAGACCTCAAGACTACTGCACTAAGATGGTATGTTAAATAAACTCTTTTAAATTGGAAAAAGAAAAGAAAAGAGCTGTAACTAACCAAATTGCTATAACTCATAAACCAGCCTTGTATGGAAAATGTGGCAATCCCGTTAAATTTGTTTTCTGCCCACATAAGCAAGACCTTAAACTTTTCAGCTTCAGAGGGTTGGCTCCATTCCTCTGGATTCTGTTACCCAGTTGGCTACTCTCAGCTTTGCACATGAATAAAATTATTTTGTTTTTGTTTTTGTTTATTTGAGACAGAGTTTCACTCTTGTCGCCCAAGCTGGAATGCAGCGGCGCAATCTTGGCTCACTGCAACTTCCACCTCCTGGGTTCAAGCAATTCTTCTGCCTCTGCCTCCCCGGTAGCTGGGACTACAGGCATGTGCCACCACACCTGGCTAATTTTTGTATTTTATTTTATTTTTTGAGACAGAGTTTCACTCTTGTTGCCCAGGTTGGAGTGCAATGGCGCAATCTCAGCTCACCGCAACCTCTGCCTCCCAGGTTCAAGCAATTCTCCTGCCTCAGCCTCCTGAGTAGCTGAGATTGCAGGCATGCACCACCACACCCAGCTAATTTTGTATGTTTATTAGACACAAGGTTTCTCCATGTTGGTCAGGCTGGTCTCGAACTCCAGACCTCAGGTGATCCGCCCGCCTTGGCCTCCCAAAGTTCTGGGATTACAGGCGTGAGCCACTCTGCCCAGCCTGAGTAAAACTTTTAAACTTGACTATGATCCTTTTGATTATTTCAGGATGGCAAAACAAAAGGTGAACTGGTCATTTCAAAGTTACTTTCCTTGTAAGGAAGGAAAAAGAAAACAGGATAACAGAAATAACTGATTGGGAAATGCAGTATCGTGCCAATTCGAACTGCCTGGTTTCAGAAATTAAGGCTGTTACTCTCCTGATTTCTGGGAAGGTCCAATAACACCTCAGTTTAGTGGTCTGGAACCTCGGCATCAGTGGCTCCATTTAGATTTTAGTCTGGTCTATTGTGGCCTAGTGCAGACAGGAGACTAGCTCAAAACAATGGTACCACCTACAATTTTTATTCAACATGAATATAGCAAAATATCTGTTAATGTAGGTGAAGAGCACATTAGTATTCACTAACATTATTCTGTGAACTTTTATTTCAGTTCAAATTTTTCATAAGAAATTAAGAGGAAAAAGGTGCTGAATTCTCCTCTGCTAAGTCCAACTTTATTAAATATAGTTACGTATCCAGGCTTGCACTTTTAGTAAATAATCGTCATGATTTAAGTCATAAATCAATAATTTAAGTCATGAACTTAAATTCTGAAACTCAAAATTCTCATTCTATAATAATCACAAAGGATACCAGAAAATTCTCCAACTACTTCCCAGGAAAATGACTGCTTACTAAGCACTCACTATGTGTCATGAACTCCTCACAAAAACCACGAGGAGGGTAGGTACTATAACTACTCTATCTTGGAAACTGAAAAACTGCAGCACAGACATTAAAATAATTTGGTCAAGGTCCCACAGATTCCAACTAGCATTGTCAAGATAAACTTCCTATTTTAAAAATAAACACATAGATTGCTTCAATAAAGGAATAGGGTATTACAAAATCAATGACAATGTATTGTCTCCAAAAAGGTTAATACATGAATATTTCAACATTTCAGATATAAAAGCAGTTATTCTCAGGAAGTAAAGTCCACCTATCAAAGTATTTGTTGCTTGCTACTATAACTGAACACTACTATTTATAAAAAGAAAATAGGATCAAGCGCGGTGACTCACACCTATAATCCCAGCACTTTGGGAGGCCGAGGTGGGCGGATCACCTCAGGGTGGGAGTTCGAGATCAGCCTGACCAACATGGAGAAATCCCATCTCTACTAAAAATACAAAATTATCTGGGCACGGTGGCAGGCGCCTGTAGGAATTACAGAATCCCAGCTATTCAGGAGGCTGAAGCACAAGAATCACCTGAACCCCGGAGGTGGAGGTTGTGGTGAGCTGAGATCACACCACTGCTCTCCAGTCTGGGTAACAAGAGCAAAACTCCACCTAAAAAAAAAAAAAGGAAAAGAAAGAGAAAGAAAATAGAGTAAGGCGCGGTGGCTCACAGCTGTAATCCCAACACTTTGGGAGGCCGAGATGGGCAGATCACCTGAGGTCAAGAGTTCTGAGACCAGCCTGACCAACATGGAGAAACTCCATCTTTACTAAAAATACAAAATTAGCCGGGTGTAGTGGTGCGTGCCTGTAATGCCAGCTACTTGGGAGGCTGAGGCAGGAGACTGGCTTGAACCCAGGAGGCAGAGGTTAAAATGAACCAAGATCACGCCATTGCACTCCAGCCTGGGCAACAAGAGGGAAACTCCATCTCTAAATAAATAAATAAAAAGAAAATAGATTCCTAAAACTGTTTAAACAAAAATACTGAGTTCCCAAATCTTAACATCAGGGAGCACTAATAGTGAAACATGTCAAGTGTTAAAAATAGGATAAGAAAAGATGGTTTAGCAGAACAGAAATTTACAAAAATAAAAAAATAAAAGGAAAAGGATGGAAACATATCTGCAACTCCTGAATGCAGGTGCTGAGCACAGGTATTAGCTGCCCATTTCAAATTTTCTACGTTTGAAATTTTTCACACAAAAATTTAAAGGTCAATGGTTTTAGGTTTTATAGTTCTGGAAAGAAAAAACACTCAGGGTACAACTCGAAACCTTCCTAGGTAACCAAGAGAATTTACTAGATATTCTTATTTAAGATGATACAATGGGTGGGGTGGGGCCCACACCTGTAATCTCAACACTTTGGAAGACAGAGGTGGGAAGATCACTTGAGTCCAAAAGTTCGAGACCAGCCTGGGTGACACAGTAACACCTCATCTCTACAAAACATAAAAAAAAAAAAAAGCCAAGTGTGGTGGTCCACACCTGTAGTACCAGCTAACAGGGAGGCTGGGATGGGAGGATCACTTGAGACTGGGAAGCAGAGGCTGCAGTGAGCCAAGATGGCACCACTGCACTGGGTAACAGAGCAAGATCCTGTCTCAAAAAATAAATGTTACAATGTATGGCACCTAAGGGCAATGTTCTAGGGCCCACTGGTGTAGGTTGTGCCTTTAGCTAAAACCTCAAAGATTAAAATAAAGATCTCAATCCTTATAAAGCATTGCTAATTACACAATGTTCAGCTACTTAAGGATACTGGCAAAGCAGCTATCACATATACCAAGTAGATATCTAAAGACCTTCAGAGCCCCAAATTCTCCTATCAATATAACAATTATTAAACACCCTAAACCACTAAACATCTTAATACCAATTTTTAATACAATTATTAACATATGGTCAAATTTTATAAGGACCATGGATTAGGACAAGAGAAAAATTTTATTGTCATCTTTCTTAACCTCTACCTGAAGTACAGCACTTCCTTCCATCATGAATGTATGCAGAAAACCACAGTATTAGTAGTACTTCCAATTTCTCAACAATAGAAATCACATCTTTCCATTCCATTGCATTTATTGTAGACCTCAAAATGCCACTTAAACTCATCAACTGACACTTAACTAGACTTGCCACCAGCACAGACTGAATACACAGTGTTGTTGCGCAGCCGGTCAGGCACAGCTCAGGTCAGCCATGTGATATCACTAGGTCTGGTCCTTAGGCATCAAACTGAAAGCAGAATTGCTGACTATGATGTAACAAAGAGCTTGGATGGCCTTTCTCCCAGCTCCGGTTGGTACCCTTTAAATCCCTGAAATGTCCTGCGAGGGACAGGGCATCTCCATAATTCATGGTGAGCACCTAGTTTATGCTA